TATCCCATTATATGAAATTAATCCACAATTTGTTTATTATTTAACCCAGTGAAGGACATTTGGGTTGCTTCCAGCTTGGGGCCAATTATAAACAAAGCTTTATGAACACGCATGTTCAGGTGTTTGTGTGAATCTACAAGTTCATTTCTCTTGGGTAAACACGCAGGAGTGGGATGTCTGGGTCATGTGGTAAGCGTGTACTTAACTTCCTAAGAAACTGCCAGGTCTTTTTTGGGGATGGGGGGTGGAGGGCCATTTTTGTATTCCCACCAGTGACTTAAGAGTCCCAGTTGCTTAGCATCATTGCTGGCACTTGGTATTGTCAGCATTAAATTTTTTAAATATGTTTTATTGACTTTTTCAGAGAGGAAGGGAGAGGAAGAAAGAGTTAGAAACATCAATGAGAGAGAAACATTGATCAGCTGCCTCCTGCACACTCCCTACTGGGTATGTATCCGCAACCAAGACACATGCCCTTGACTGGAAACGAACCTGGGACCCTTGAGTCCACAGGCCGACGCTCTATCCACTGAGCCAAACCTCTATCCACTGAGTTAAACCGGTTAGAGCAGCATTTTAAATTTTATTTCAAACCTTGCATTTCCCCAGTGGCTAATGGTATTGAGCCATTTTCATTGTATACAAATGGTGTCAGAGAGTCTTCCATCACTTTAAGTTCCTAAAGCTTTTTATGGTATTGTCGTTTGTGAGCCTTCTGCTGCTTAGTATCTCTTTGTGAGACTATACTAAGAAATAATTTCCCGTGGATGGATATTTGGGTCCTTTCCGGATGTGTGCCATCAAGAACATTCATGTGTGTGTCTCCTGGTCATACAAAGGCAAGAGTTTCCTAGGTTACATGCCTAAGAGAACTCCCGGGCCAGGAGTTTTCCAGAGAATGGGAAACTGCTTCCCAAAAGGGTGGGGTCAGCCGTTCTTTCAGTTACCATTGCACAGGGGAGAGAATGAAGTTCAGGTGCGTGTGGAGAAAGTGTGTGCACATGTGATAGTAATACAAGATTCTGCCCAAACAAGATAAATAGCACCTTGGATTGAATTTATCAGCAAAGCTATTAGAAATTTATTTCCTGGGGGTGGGGAGAGTGATTAAGAGCCACCGAAGTCTCTGGGACCATGGGACAGACGTACTAAGAATGTGACTGGAAGCAATGATAAGGAGAGATATGTAACAGGGAGAAGTTACAGAGCAATATGTGCTCACTAATAAAGATAGAGTAGGAGGTGGAGGGCGTGCATTTGTACTGTACCCTCAATAATAAAACCTCATGTGCTATCACAAGTGCTGAGAAACAGGCAATTAGCTGGAAATGTATCTCCCCACGGACAGGAACACCCATATTTATTCCAGTAGCATTTATGTGTGACGTTTCAAATCTAACAAGCTGGAGAGGAAGACAGATCCAACCTCTTCATACCCACAAAATATTCATAACTAGTAAAAAAGGCAAAATGAGGCCTAGCTGGTTTGCGTCAGAGGATAGAGTTCTGGGTTTGATTCTGGTCAAGGGCACTATTTTGAGTCTATTTTGAAGAAGTGGCATTAAAAGAAGTTTAAGTTTAAGCTGAAACCGGTTTGGCTCAGTGGATAGAGGGTCTGAAAGGTCCCAGGTTCGATTCCGGTCAGGGGCATGTACCTTGGTTGCGGGCACGTCCCCAGTAGGGGGTGTGAAAGAGGCAGCTGTTCCATGATTCTTTCTCATCGATGTTTCTAACACTCTATCCTCTCCCTTCCTCTCTGTAAAAAATCAATAAAAATATATTTTTTTTAAAAAGAAGTTTAAGGTTAAAAAAATTGGCTCTCAAAAGAAAATTTCAATCGTTGTACTGTTGATATTTGGCTCTGTTGACTAATGAGTTTGCCAACCACTGTCCTAGCTCATAGATGTCTGTTGTTAACATTCTTTCTAATTCCATGATAATCAGCTGTGGTGAAAATATTTACACCACAATAATGGTGTAATGTGGCTCTGGCTGGGTAGCTCAGTTTGTTCGAGTATTGTCCCAATAAGCCAAGGTTTGGGGTTCGATCCCTGTCAGGGCACATACAAGAAGCAACCAATGAATGCATAAATGGGTGGAACAACAAGTCAATTTGTCTCCCCACCCTCATTTCTAAGGCCCACTGTTAAACATTTACCAGCACACTATTGCTAGGTGGGGCGAGGGAATTATTAACTGAATAGGGCACTGAAGAAACTCTGGAGCTATGTAAATGTTCTCCATTTTGTTTACAGGAATGGTCACATGGGTACGTACCATGGTAAAACCTCAGGAAATTGAACACTCAGTTTCATTATATGTAAGCTATAGACAAATTTTTAAAAGGATTATAGGCATATATAGCCTAAAATAAAATATGCTAGCGAGATCAATTTGCAGAACAGGAAGAAGATGAAAATGCCCTGAGCTGGGAAAGGTCATGGCATCATCTGAGGCCAAGAGAGCATTCTCCTGAATTCTGGGCGAGTGGAAGCAGTGTGATGCAAAACTAAAGAGGCCCACATTGTAGAAGTCAGGCATGTCTGCGAGTAGTTTTATTTATTTATTTATTTATTTATTTATTTATTATTTTTCTTTTTTTATATTTTTATTGATTTTACACAGAGAGGAATTGAGAGGGATAGAGAGTTAGAAACGTCGATGAGAGAGATACATCGACCAGCTGCCTCTTGCACACCCCCCACTGGGGATGTGTCTGCAACCAAGGTACGTGCCCTTGACCGGAATCGAATCTGGGACCTTTTAGTCCATAGGCCGACGCTCTATCCACTGAGCCAAACCGACTTCGGCTGCGAGTAGTTTTAATCAGGGAAGAGCTATGGTTACATTTTTGCATTTTTAGAGCATTGTTACATTTTGCAATTACGCATATATTTAAAAAATATTTTTATTGGTTTCAGAGAGTAAGGGAGAGAGAGACACACACACACATCAATGATTAAGAGAGAATCATCGACCAGCTGCCTCCTGCATGACCCCCAGTGGGATCAAACCTGTAACCCGGGCATGTGCCCCAACCAGAATTCGAACAGTGACCTCCTGGTTCATAGGCCGATGCTCGATCACTGAGTTACTGCTGGCTGGGCTGCAATTATGTATATCTCGTATCTTTTAAACATTGTATCTCTGATGCCCAGCACTGCCTCTAGCACATAAAGAGCATTGCAAATTAACTGTTAAAAGAACTGAGGGGCAGCCAGACATGAATTGGGCAGGACTGAGCCAGAGAGACCAGGGGACTGGGCTGGACCCTGGAAGACAATGCTGACTGAGCCTCTCCCAAAGGTATGCCCCACCATAAAATGTACACCGGTGCTCAAAGACATGACAAAGAGAAAAGCAATGTGGTGAATTTTACATAAAGTCAACGTTTCCCCCTTTAAATGACTGTCCTTTATTCAGTGCCACGTACTTACATCTTTAGAAGAGTGTTAAAATAACATTTCTCATAACATGGTGCGGCCACTGTGGAAAACAGCATAGTGGTTCCTTAAAAAAAAAAAAAAATCAAATATAGACTTACCATTCAATCCAGCTATTCCATTTCTAGGAAGATGCCCAAAAGAACTGAAAGCAAAGATATTTTATACCCATCATTTTTATCCCCATTATCAAAGCATTATTCACAAGAGTCAAAAGGTGGGAATATTCAAACGTCTACCAACGGATGAGCCAACAAAATGGGGTCCATCATACTGTACAATGGAATATTATTCAACCTTAAAAAGGCTATTCTGACACCTGCTACAACTATGGATGAACCTTAAAGACCTTATGCTGAGTGAAATCAGCCAGACCCAACAGGACAAATACTGTGTGATTCCAGTTATATGATGTCCCTAGAGGAGTCAGATTTATAGAGACAGAAAGTGGGAACCAGGGGCTGGGGGAGGAGGAATTAGCGTTTAATGGGGACAGTTTCACTGTGGGAAGATGGAAAAGTTCTGGAGGTGGATGATGGTGATGTTGAACAACAATGTGAATGCACTTAATGTCACTGAACTGTACACTTAAAAATGGTTTTTAAAAAGGTACATTTGTGCTATCATCAACAAGTCAACAAACAACAAGTTCTGGAGAGGATGTGGAGAAAAAGGAACCCTCAAGTCCTAACCAATTTGGCTCAGTGAATAAAGCATCGACCTGCGGACTCAAAGGTCCCAGGTTCGATTCCAGTCAAGGGCACATGTCCAGGTTGTGGGCTAGCACAAAGCAACTGATCATTAATTCTCCCTCATCATTGATATTTCTATCTCTCTCTCCCTCTTCCTTCCTCTCTGAAATCAATAAAAAAATATTTTTATATAAATATATTTTAAAAAAGAATAGATCCAGAGACAAACGGTACGGGGAAAGGTAGGGAGGAGGGGGAGGGAAGGTAGAGAGCAACCAAAGGACTGCACACAGGCTCTGGGGTGGGAAAGGGTGTCAATTGGGGGAAAAGGAGACATATGTAAAACTTTAGACAATAAATTAATTTTTAAAAGGCACATTTGTATATTTAACACAATAAAAATATTTTTAAAACACCTTTCTTCCACAAAGGATGGGGTTATGCGTTGGTGGGGGCTTGCGTCCATAATTGGCAAAAAAGACTTCAGGTGAAAAAAGAAAAGACTTCAGGTGGCTCTGGGTCCGTCTCCCACAACTTGTGGAGGTTTCAGCGGCTGCCGTCGTCCCAATCCGGCAGCCAGGGCTGAGGTGCGGGCCTCTCCCCACGCACCGCCCCAGCTCCGCCCGCGCCGCGGCCCCGCCTCACCTGGCTCACCTGCCCCGGCGCAGGCGCACACGCGCGGGGGTGGGGCGAGGGGTGCGCACCCTCCCCCATACCGCCCCCCCCCTCCCCCCGCACCGCCTCGGCGGACCCCGCCCCTTCCCTCCGCCAGGCGGCCTCCCGCGGGGCCTCCGACGCGGGGCGAGGAGCGGGGCGGGGCCTGCGCGTTCCCGGGGTGGCTCTCGCGAGAGCCGCTCCGGGATCTCGTCGCTCCCCCTCCCCGCCTGTGCCTCCGGGGCTCCGGCTGCAGCGTCAGCCTCGGTCCGGCCTTGGCGGCGGCGGCGGCGCATCGGCCTCCTCCCCGCGCCCCGCGGCGCCCCTGTGCCCCGGTCCGCAGCGCCCCCGCCCTCGCCGCCCGGGTGCCGGCGAAGGCCGCGGCCGCAGCTCCGCGATCGTGTCGGCGCCGCCCGCTCCCGGCCCGCCCCCTATGGGCCCCGGCTAGAGGCGCCGCCGCCGGCCCGCGGAGCCCCGATGCTGGCCCGGAGGAAGCCGGTGCTGCCGGCGCTCACCATCAACCCCGCCATCGCCGAGGGCCCATCCCCCACCAGCGAGGGCGCCTCCGAGTGAGTGGGCCGGGCCGGGCGAGGATGGGGATCCCTGGGTAGGGAGGTCAGGAGTAGGCTCCCTGAGAGGAGGGGATGGAATGTGGGGGAGCCCCTGAGTGGTGAGGTCAGGGGCGGGGTCCTGAGAGGAGGGGAGGGGAGGAGATGGGAGGGGGGGAACCCCTGAATGGTGAAGGTGGGAGGGGTCCTGAGAGGAGAGCATGGGGTGGGAGGGGAGTCCCTGAGAGGTGAAGGTGGGAGGGGTCCTGAGAGGAGAGCATGGGGTGGGAGGGGTCCTGAGAGGAGAGGATGGGGTGGGAGGGGAGTCCCTGAGAGGTGAAGGTGGGAGGGGTCCTGAGAGGAGAGCATGGGGTGGGAGGGGAGTCCCTGAGAGGTGAAGGTGGGAGGGGTCTGGTAGTAAGGTTGGAGTGAGGGGAGGTTCCTGTGGGGCCCTAAATAGTGAAATTTTGCTGAGGAAGGTCCCTGAGTAGTGAACCGGGGTGAAATGAGGTCCCTGCAGGAAAATGATGAGGTGTGGGGCCACTGAGTCCTGAAACTGGAGTTAGGGGGGAGTCCCTGAGTAGCGTTTCCCGGGTGATGATGCGGGGAGGGTTCCTGAGAGGAGAGGATGGGCAGGTGTCCTTAGTAGTGAAGTCAAAGGTTGGGGGGTGGGGGTCCCTGAATAGTGAGGTGGTGGGAGGGGCCCTTGCATATCTTGAACAGGTGAACGAGGTCCCTGGGAGGGAGGATGGGTGAGGAAGTCCACTGAAGACCAGGAAAAGGGAAAGAGATGCCTAAGAGCTGTGGGAGGGATCCCTGAGCCGTGGAGTAGTAGGGGGAAGGCTCCCTGAGGGAATTTGGGGGTAGGAAGCCGGAGATGATCCTGCTAGTTGGGGGTGAAGCCCCTGAAGCGGGGGAGAGGGGTGAGGAGGTCCAGAGGAGGCTGGGGAAGCAGGGAGCGAGGAGAATTTGGACGGGCAGGGTGTGGGGGGGGGGGGGCAATAGGAGACATCTATTAATAGGAAAGGAGTGAGAACCTCTGACAGCAGAAATTCTGAACCTAATGGATTAGCGAAGCCTTGAGGGGCTGGAGAAGTGCAAGAGGTCTGAGGGTTTGAGGCCATTGAGGGAAGCAGGAGCGTTTGTGGAGAAGGGGACAGAGAAAGGAATGTCCCTGGGTGGAGGGATTACACGGTGGCAGTATCTTACTGTGTGAGGGAAAACATGCTTGTGAAGTCACACGAGGGAAACTGCTTGCCCCCAGGAGTCCTGTAGCCTCCCGCTCCTGCCGTGCCTGGTGGGGCAGAGAGGGACAGCCCCAGAGGCCCTGGCCCGGGGCACTTCCCTGTGCTTGCGGTGTGACTCCCGTGAAAACCAGGTGTGATCTGTTTCTGGTGCGCATTGGGTGAATGGCATGTTTGGTGCCTCAGCGGACTAGGCCTTCTGTAACCTGGGTGAGGGGTAAGGTGGTGGGGAAGGGAAGGACGTGAGTCTTGATGCATGTGTGTGAGTTGACATCTTTCTCTGTCTCCAAGCGCATAGCTCAATGTGGGGACGTGTTTTTTATAGTAAAAAATTCACTCCTCTTCTTACAAGACAGCTCTTCCTTCATAATCTCTCTCTCTCTCTTCTTTTTTTATGTGGTGTCTGATTTCCATCCCTTCAAAAATTCCCCCAGTAGAGGAAGCCAGCCATTGGGATTCCAGGGTTTTTTATAACCACAGTGGAGTTGCCATTAAATTTAAAATGGATTAATCAGCTGACTCCAGAATGCATTTTAGACGTCACAGGGCAGTGCTGGAGCCCTTCCAGAGTCTGGCCTCAAAAGTTGTCTCTCGACCCTCCAGTGAAGGAACTCTCGCATTCATTCATTCCTGTGCCTTCTCTCTTCCATCCATCAGAGTCCTTATCATTCCTTCTTCAATGAAATCTTGGTTCACCAGGCATCCAGTGAACGCCTTCTGGGCCCCTGGTCTTGGTTCAGGGGCACACTGTGATGAGCAAGGGCCATCAAGAACACAGACTGGCCCTGGCTGGTTTGGCTCAGTGGGTAGCGTGTCGATCTGGGGACTGAAGGGTCCCAGGTTCATTTCCAGTCAAGAGCACATGCCTGGGTTGCAGGCTTCATCCCCAGTAAGGGGTGTGTAAAAGGCAACCAATCAATGATTCTGTCTCATCAATGTTTCTGTCTCTCCCTCCCTCTCTCTTCCTCTCTACAATCAATAAAAATATTTTTTTAATTAAAAAAAAAAGAATATAGACTGTGTAATCAGGAAGGATACAGGTTTGATTCCAGACACTGCCACTTGCTAGAGTTGTGACATTCAGGCTAGTTATTTAACCTCCTGGGCCTGTCCCCTTAGCGTGGGCTTCATTCTACAAGAGACCCCGCCTCCCAGGAGGATTGAGAGAATTAAACAAGATAGTGTGATGATATTTATACTCGTGAAGCTCTGGTTTACTTGCTCAGGAAATGACACCTACCTTCCAGCCACCTCTTTGCAGTACCAGCTCGAGTGGCATTGCCCAGTGGCAGGTTTTCTCGTTCTTGGCCTGTGGGACCCTTTGCTCAAACCTCTTAAAGTTGTAGACGAATCATAGTCACATGGGAATTGATATTTGTGAATTTGTTTATATTTATTGCATATTGCAAAATATATTTTGATGTGTTAGATGAAATGTATTAGAATTAATTTCACTTGATATATATTTTTAATGTGCTTATAAATTTTAAATTGCACAAGTTGTTTACAGTGTATGTTTGGACGGCACTGGGTTGGTCCTTGTGTGCATCGTGCTAAAGTCTACGTGCCTGTTACAAGAAACTTTTTTACCCCAAGGCATTAGTGAAAATAGCTAATCGTCAAATTTTTCTTTGAAAATTCCTTGAGTCACCCAATAAAGTGCAATGTACATGTGGGTTTTTTAATAACTGGTCCAGGAATGTGTGTGGGTATAAATGCCTAATGTTTACAGTAGTGTTCGGATATAATAAGAGTGTGCTGGTTGAGTGGAATGCCCTGGGATTATCCGCACTATTTAAATCAGTCTGCTCTTCATGTGAATTACAACTTCTGTCTTCTGCCCATTGGTTCTTGCTCTTGGCTCTGAGGCTCATGAAGACAGACATCCTGGCCTGGGCCTTCACTCCCCTGATGCCCAGTCGTGTCTCCCCAGTTCCATGTCTCCTTCCAGAGAGGTAGGGAACCCTTGTGTCAGGAAGGAGGGCTCCTGTATCTGATTACAGGGTCATTGAACCAAAGCTGGTCCCCCAGGTGCTGAGGTCTCCTAACCTTTGTAAGCAGAGAGAGAGCCAGTGGCCTCAGTTCTCAGGGAGCCAGCTTTCTCTTCTGATCAGCTGTGTGTACACAGGTCTTCTTTCTCCTCTGCTAGATCATCGGCCCCTCAAGCCCAAGAATCAAATCTGATTCATCTCTGCATCCTTTTGGTTACAAACCCAGGATCTGGCCACATGGTACCTCCAGCTCAGGTTGAGTCATTTGGGCGGCTTGCACACGCTTCACTAATCCTTGTCGTTGGGTCTCTACAGAGCAAACTTGGTGGACCTCCAGAAGAAGCTAGAGGAGCTAGAGCTTGATGAGCAGCAGAAGAAGCGGTTAGAAGCCTTCCTCACCCAAAAGGCCAAGGTTGGGGAGCTCAAGGATGATGACTTCGAAAGGATCTCAGAGCTGGGAGCCGGGAACGGCGGAGTGGTCACCAAGGTCCAGCACAGACCTTCAGGCCTCATCATGGCAAGAAAGGTGAGAGGTGGCCAGTGGCAAGGCAGGTGTTCTGTCCCTATGCGCTGTGGGTGACATGGAGGAGCAGGTCCCTGGAAACAGGAGAGCAGTTTGAAAGGTGCCAGCCTCTGTCTTCTGCTGGCTCCTGTGCTCAGAAGCCCTCCCATCAGCGGTGGGTTCTCATTCCTGAAAAAGAGTTTGGCTTCCAGTTAGAATGCGGCAATGCTGGCTCTTCCTCTCTATTACTGACCTTTGCCTTTGGGGCGGCTTAAATTCAGATTCCCAGAAAGCTGAGGGAGTTTTCAGGAAGAAGGGATGAGATTTAAATCCCCTTAGAGCTGGCTTCACAACCAGAAAAAAAACGCTGCAGACCCAAGCAGGGCCTCTGTCTGCTGTGTTGGTCCCTGGGCAATGGGGTAACTAAACCACCTGTATTAGTCCGAGTTCTCCAGAGAATCCGAAGCACTAGGAGGGGAGGGCGGGGTATAGGTATTTTAAGGAATTGGCTTATGCAATCGTGCAAGTCTGAAACTTTCAGGGCATGCCAGCAGGCTGGAGACCCGGGGAAGAGTTGATGTCACAGCTTAAGTCTGGAGGCAGAATCCCCTCTTCTTTGGGCCTTTAACTGATTGGATGAGGCTGCCCACTTATTGGGGGGGGGGGTGTCTGCTTTTCTCAAAGTCAGGTGATTTCCATGGAAAATCACTTCTAAAAAATACCTTCACAGTGACATCTAGACTGGTGTTTGACCAGACAGCTGGATACTGTGGACACATTAAATCAACTATCACCCGACCCTTTAGTACAAACCTTGGCTCTGAGAAGTCCTGAGCCTCCCTCATCTGGGCTTCTGTGCCACGGGCAGCCTCCCAGTAAACATTCGGGAATAGCCCTGGGAGGAGAAGGAGTGGACTAGAGGAATGTGACTGTCTGGGGACAGTGGCTTCCAAACACCTAACTGCAGAGGCTTCATGTTAACCAGTTGTTTCATTCATACAGTCACGTTCTTTCAGACATCAAAAGCCACCTGTTTCTGGAAGCCCACTGTCTTGTCGTTTCCAAATTGTGTTCTCCGAACCTCACACACACACACACACACACACACACACACACACACACCCCGAGCCTGGTGGGCCGGACAGGTCCCACCTTTCCTGGGAATGGTGAGCTTGGTTTCCATGGGTTTTAGCTCTGTAGCTATTCCTCCTGCCTCCAGAGCACTGCCCTCCTCCTGCAGCCTATTTCTGTCCTGTTAGCACAGCAGCCTTTTCAAAACCAGAGCAGCCCCAGAAACCTCTGGTCTGCCATTGCCCGAAGCACCGAAGCACCGGGAATAAAAGGCAGGTATGAGGTTCAGGGAGGGGGAGGGAGAGAGAGACTTGAGAACAGTGCTGGTCAAGAGTTTGTATCAGGGACCCGGGTTCTCTCAGGCCAGCTGAGGAATCTCAACAAGCCTTGTATAAACGTGAATCTGGGAGTTATATGCAGCTTTATAAAAGCCTGTGAAGTAAGGCATCAGACTTCAAAATGGGGACAGATAAGTTCTGTAGTCAAGTTGGCGGTGGTGCTGTCCCAATGTCAGTTTCCTGGTTTGGTCCTTCATCATAGAGATGTCACTGTTGGGGGAAGGGCGTGGGACTCTGCTGTTTTTGCAACTTCCCTCTGCTTCTTTAATTCTTTCAAAATAAAAAGTTGGGTTTTTTTTTAAAGGTCCAATAAATGAGGGTCAGGAACTCGGATTTTGTTTCCTGTAGATCTGAACCCCCTCCTCCCAGCAGTTGTCAGAAGAGTGCAGGCAGTTGGCAAATACATTGAACGAGAAGGCTGTCTACTGGGCATTGTGTGGTCTGGGGCTGTAACTTCTTCGAGCCCAGGAGTCCTGGGCCGCTCTGGGGGGTCAGGGGCTCCTTTTAATCCATCCGAATGCCAGTCCACCTGGGAGGTCTGTTGCCTTTATTCAGTTGAGGGCATAGATGGGAAAATTGGCAAGACAAACGAGTTCTTAAGAAACAGTGGCCTCATTCCATCCTCCACTACCCCAGTTGGAATTCCGAATTTTCCAGGAAGCCTGGTATGAATTCCACACATTCCAAGTGTGAGGCTTATCAGATCTCCAGAGGCAGCCTGCCCGCAGGTGTGAGGGTGCAGGCTGGGTGGAGCTCCTGGACGCCCATACAGCTCCTGCTCTGTGGGCCAGCATCCCTCCGGTCCCTGTGACTGGCAGAGGATCATCCTAACCAGTAGGACGGGCTGGGGAAGCAACAAGACCAGTTCGGTAAGGCCCAAGAAAACAAGTCTCTCAATTTCTACAGCCAGGCTTGTTCATAAATTTTTTCTTGACTTAGCATGGCTCACTAACTCCTGCGTTCTTCTGAGGGTCCTAGGAGCAAAACCTCTGTGAGACTTTGGGCGAGGGGAGCTCTTTGGAGAGTTTAGCACATTTGTTACGCAGCAGGGCTCCCTGGATCTCCCTCTGCTTGGACCAAAGGAATGTGTACTTGCTTCTGCAATGAAGGTCATGTGACCCACCCACGGCCACATAGTAATGCTTCAAGTGATTGCCCTGTGTCAGAGCCAGTTTAAAACCTTGAGTGACCTCTCTATTTTACAGGTGAGAAAACTGAGGCTAGTTTGAGTCTTATCTGAATTGGATTTGAACCTTTGTGGCCGACTCTGACTTGTGAAAGCTGTCAGGGTTTTACCTCCAGAATCCATGTCCCTCTTTCCTAGTTTGTCCCCTCTGCCCCTGTCCTGCAGTAGGAACTGCCTAAACTCCTAGACAGGCTTTGTGTTCTGTTTGAACTTCCAGCACTATTCTGGCTCGATCAGCTTGGCCCCGGAGGGTGCTGTGAAAGAGGATGGGTTCTGGCAGTTTGTGAGCTCAGCCCCATCCTGCCCTGACTGCTCACCAGCTGTGTGTCCGTGGGAGTGAACTTGCTCATCAGCGCAGTGGGGCAGGTACCCTGTCCCACCAGGGTTGTCATCAGGGCGAATTGTGTGGCCCACCCAGGATTGTCACCAAGGTGAACTGTGAGCACATGTGCCTTCCCATTCCTGCTCTTTCTCTGCACACCCTCAGTGCCGACTCCTGTTCAATCCGGAAGGTTTGCTTTACAAGACCCGTTAAAACAGATCACACAGCAGCACCCCTACGTTCCCTCCTTTTTATTTTTATTGTTTTGTGTTTTTTTACTATGTTCCCTCTTTACAACTTTCCCAAAAGCCTCGTACTTCCAGGGGCCTTGTTTCACATTCACCCCACTCCAGGCTTCCGGGACCTCTGGGGTCCTGTGCCGTTCTCAGTTCTGTCCACCTTCCTCTTCTCTAAAGCCTGGCGGATTCTCGCTCCCCTGCCCCTCATTCATCTGCGGCTCCTTTCAAGCTCTTAGTCAAGAGCCACCCTGAGTCAGGTATAGCTACTGAGCCCTTAAACTGTGGTCAGTTTCAGTCAAGATTGCTACATGTGCAAAAAACACACCTGATTTCAAGGGCTCTGTATGAAAAAAAAAAAAAAAAAAGTCATCAATACTTTTATGTCTATCACATGTCAATTTTTTGATACATTACGTTAAACAAAAGACATGAAAAATTTATTTCTCCTGCATCTTTTCACTTCATTACTATGGTAGCTAAAGGGTTTTTAATTTACGCATGTGGCTCGTGGTATATTTCTGTTGGATGGCCCGGATCTCCATCGCCCTGCACTGCCTATGCATCAGCCTCCATCTTCCATGCAAACATCGGAGCTTCATCGTCACACCCAGCATCTGAACCTTTCGAAGCACGGATGTGTGCATATGTTGGGCCTCTCCTCCAGGGTGCAGTCCCACCCAGGAGAGAGTCTGGGGTCCTGGAGGTGGCCGTGGGGCTGTGCAGTGTCCGGGGAGGGTGGTTAGGCTGGGTTCTGCGGACCAGGTTGGGTGGAGAACCAAACGCCTGAGCGGCCCTGGAGGGTCCCGGTCAGGGAGGCACTGCCGGGGCATGGTGGGGGCACAGGCGCCGTGCTGCTAGGACCTGCCAGCGTACTCAAGGTTGCAAGGGTCATTGGCATGGGCCTGTGAGCAGGTGACACTTCCCACACATACCCTGTGACTCCCCCTCCCTCCCCTCCAACTTGGTACACACCCCTTCGTGCCTTGGTGTCCTCGGACAGGCAGTTCTTTGTCTTTCTTTCTGGAACACTGGCCCCAGTGTCACCTGAGCTCCAGATCACCTCTCCGCGGTTCCTCTATTGGGGCCCCCCGCCTTTCGGGGTTGTTTCACCTGCTTCTCTTCTCTCCCGGTGGCATATCTCTGAGCAGGGTCATCTTTGCTGTCTTTCTCCTCATCGCTGACCTCTGTTGTAACTGACTTTATGTAAATATCTGAGTTGATGGCAATCACTTCCAGATGCCTGTGATCTGCCTCTGCCTCTGTGGGGAAGGGGCATACATCGACCTTTTTCTTAACTTACCATGATGGCCAGAGCATCTAGGATTCTAAGTAGCCAGGACCCGGACCCACAACCGTCACTCTGCATCGCTGGGCAGGGGATCTTGGCTTGCTTAGGGTTTGTAGTTAAGCATTGCTCTTGGTGTTTTGGCTGCTATCTTTTATCCGAGTCTCCAGATGGTCCTTAGGCTTCTCACCTATGAAAATGGAGTGAATTTGGTGACACTCCTGGCTGCAGGATTGAACTCAAGTGTAAGGGCAGCTAGGATCCTCAGGAGGTGACCAGAGGCTCTCTCTGCCTTTGCTCATCCTGGAGGTGGGAAGGGATCCAGAGAAACCAGCCCCTGAATGAGGGGCTGAGCCATGGTGAGGTGACCCCCTGCCCGGCCATTTCCTGGCTTCATACGATTTGGTGGGAAGAAAGCTCCTCTTAACAGAGCTTCCCCTATAACCAATTAAAAAAGGTTTGCTCTGTTGGTGAGCTTTTAAAACAACTTTATTTGAGATGTAACTCATTTCCTGGACAGTATACCCTTTAGAGTATACAATGTCAGTGGTTTTTAGTATATTCACAACATGGCCACCACCGATCCTGGGACATTTCCAACATCCCCAAAAGAAGCCCTAACCTCAGGCACTGGCAACTGCTAGTCCACTCCTGTCTCTGCATGTGCCTGTTTGGGACATTTCACATAAATGGAATCACACACTGTGTGGCCTTTGGTGTCTGGCTTCTCTCACTGAGCATAGTGTTCTCAAGGCTGGTCCATGTTTCCATGATTGAGTAATATTCCGGTGTGAGGATGGACCACATTTTGTCTGTCCATTCACCAGTTGATGAATATTTGGGTTGCTTCTGTGTATTAGCAATTGTGAATCACACTGCTGTGAACACATGTACAAGTGTGTACATGGATCTGTGTTTTCAGTTCTCCTGGGTAGATAGATACCTAGGAAAGGGGAGGGTAGCTGGCGTCTTTTTTTTTTTTTTTTTTAATATATTTTATTGATTTTTTACAGAGAGGAAGAGAGAGAGGGATAGAGAGTTAGAAACATCGATGAGAGAGAATCATCGACCGGCTGCCTCCTGAACACCCCCTACTGGGGTGTACCCGCAACCAAAGTACATGCCCTTGACCGGAATCGAACCTGGGACCCTTGAGTCCGCAGACTAACGCTCTATCCACTGAGCCAAACTGGTTTCGGTGGTAGCTGGCGTCTTGAACGCTGTCATGAGCACCTCAAGGGCAGAGGACTAAACCCACCCACCCCCGCCTTCCTGGTGCCCCTCAGGAGCCTGCTTCTGAACCCGATTCCCATTCCCTTGCAGCTGATTCACCTGGAGATCAAGCCAGCCATCCGGAACCAGATCATCCGAGAGCTGCAGGTGCTGCATGAGTGCAACTCCCCGTACATCGTAGGCTTCTACGGGGCCTTCTATAGCGACGGGGAGATCAGCATCTGCATGGAGCACATGGTGAGCACTGCGGGGCACCCGGGCCAGAGGGGGCACGGGGGGACACAGCCAGTGTCCCAGAGCCACCTGGGCTTGCAACCAGGGAGGCATGGCAGGACAAAGGGTTCATGTAGAATGGGAGGGTGGCTGTCCCCAGAGGCTGCAGTGCACCTTTCCCAGGTGGTCCCCCCGGAGAGTCAGTACCATTCGGGTGCATATGTTCAGGTGCCTTCGTCTTTAAATGCTGGACGCCCTCCTTCCAACTTTTCTCTTTCACTGGGTACAAGACAGAAATTATTTCCTGTCGGCACATAGAGCCGGCTCTTTTCCCCAGTCTAGTGTTTTGGCACCCACATTTACCGGTAAGTTAATTTATTAAACTCTTATTGGTGGACACCGAGATTGTTTCTGATCTCTGCGCATTTTGAATGATGCTGCTTTGAAGGTTCTTGCACAGAAGCAAGCATCCCTGAGTGGTCAAGTCCTCCCCGTGGAATTGTGGGGCCTGAGGGTACACGAGATTGGAAATGTGATCAGTGTCTCCAGAGTGCCTTCTAGAGAGAGTATGAGTTGGGGCTGTTTCAGAGAGACCTGGGCCTGCACCTAGCTCAGATCTGCGGAATTAGAAACTCGGGGGGGGGGGATCCTGGGCACCAATCGTTTTTTTAAAACCACCACAGCAGCATCGGCTGTACCCCTAATTAAGAAACTTTGGTCTTGAAGTTCAGAAGTGGGTGGAATTGGGTGTAACGAAAGCAGAAGTGGTCGGAGCTGAAGGCCCTGGGGGAAACGCCTCCGGCCCTCTGGCAGCCCAGTTGAGCAGATACCAGGCTGCCTACCGCCCGGCTGGATGGGCTCAGGCCTGGCAGGGCCCTTGCAAAACCGGGGCGCAGTGTGGCTTTAGGCACATGGCCCGAGCAGCTTCAGTTATGCCTTGCAAATGTGCTGTCCCCTGACAGTTTTGCAATGAAGGCAGGAAACGAAATTGAGCAAGTGACTGCAAGGGATGCATCGTGAGCAGCCTTCCTGGGTAACCGCTTCGCTTCTTGGAGGGCGTGCCCGCCAGGATGCTCCCCACCCCCTGCATCGAGATCCCCACCAGGCAGCCCCCTGGAGGAGCCCTTCCTCACCTCGGAGAGGAAGATCCTATCCACCCGCCTGCAGGGCAAAGTCACTGTGTAGACAAGAATCAGGGAGGGGAAAGCACGGAAGTCACTGTGTGATCTGAGGAGAGCCTCTGTACTCAGCTCCTCCTCCTCCTCCCTCCCCCTCCCTGCACTCCCTTCTCCCTCTCCTCCTCTTCTCCCTCTCCTCCTCTTCTCCCTCTCCTCCTCTTCTCCCTCTCCTCCTCTTCTCCCTCTCCTCCTCTTCTCCCTCTCCTCCTCTTCTCCCTCTCCAGTGCTCTTGATCACCTCTACCTGTTCTCCCTGAATAGCGTTACAGTTTGAAACCACCTCATTCCCTTACAGCAAAAGGGGAGCGGCACATCCTAGCGCCCCTCCACGCCCCCATCTGTTCTTGGTGAATGTAAGACGTTGGTTTCCACACAGTCCGAGCCCCCAGGAGGCAGAGGGCGGGTGCTGGCCATTCTGTTTATTTACTGTGCTCATCCTTTAAAAGTTTCTAGTTGGGTTTTTTTGTTTGTTTGTTTGCTTTTATGACGAGCAGACGAGGGCAGTAGAAGAATTATATAATGCCCAAATGAAAAGACATGCCAAGGTGGGGCCTGCGCTTCCCGCTTTCTCCTTATAGGAGTCATGTTCCACTAATCTTGGAGGCCAGGGATTTTCAAGACTAAGATGAACCTTAAAGAGGGGGCCTTGGTGCCTGGCTGGTGTGGCTCAATTGATTGAGGGTTACCCCTGCATAGAAAAGTCACCAGTTCAATTCCTGGTCAGGCACATACCCAGGTTGCTGGCTGGATCTCTGGTAGGGGTGCAACCAGTCAATGTTTCTCTCTCACATGATTGTTTCTCTCCCTCTGCCTCCGTCTCAAAAATAAATAAATACCTATTTTAAAATATATTTTTTCTTTATTGATATTTTACAGAGAGGAAGGGAGAGAGATAGAGAGCTAGAAACATCGATGAGAGAGAAACATCGATCAGCTGCCTCCTGCACATCCCCTACCAGGGATGTGCCCGCAACCAATGTATATGCCCTTGACCGGAATCGAACCTGGGACCTTTCAGTCCGCAGACCGACGCTCTACCACTGAGCCAAACCTGTTTCGGCAATAAAAACCTATTTTAAAAAGGGAGAGGGGGACTTGGTGAGGAAGGCATAGAGGGAGAGAGAAAAGAAAACATTGATGTAAGAGGGAAACATCAATCAGTTGCCTCCAGTACATGCTCCAATTTGGGGATTGAACCTGCAACCTGGATTTGTACTCTGACAGGAATTGAACCCATGGCCCTCGGTGTATGGAACAATGCTCCAACCAACTAAGCCATACCAGCCAGGGCCCTTAACAGTATATTTATGTTGAGTAAACCCCTCCAGAATCCATTTGCATGTTCATAGGTTTTCCCTGTGTAGAGGACATTGTTGCTTTGTGCATCCATGTACTTATAAGGATGGCTCACATAAGGGTTAGATGGCTCCCTGGGGTCAGGCCTCAGCCCCACTGCCCACCTCTCAGCACATGACTCTGGAAGAGTTTCTCACTTCTACTTACCTGTCAAGCCAAGGGCGGTGGTATTGCCTTTCCCTGGCCCTCGTCACATAGGGCACTGAGTAAATACCACCGTTATCACTGGGGCCATTTCTCCATATTTCTCTTTCGCCTTCATATCTCTCGCTCTCTCTCTCTCTCTCTCTCTCTCTCTCTCTCTCTTTCTCTCTCATTTCTTGATTTGAACAGAACAAACATCAATTTGTTGTTACACTTATTTATGCATTCATTGGTTGCTTCTTGTATGGGCCCTGACGGGGAATTGAATCTGCAACTTTGGTGTATCTGGCCATCACGCTAACCAAATGAGCTACCAGACCAGAGTCTTCATGTCTCTTTTTCACCATCGTGACAGCCCACCTAGTCTTACCCCACACGATGCAACTGCTTCCTGGTGGAGGCAAGGTTTTGTTTTCACTCGGGCAGTGTGGGGTTGGCTCTCATTGCCCCTGAGGGAGGTTCCAGCTGCAGCTTTTGGGAAGAGAATCCTAATGATAATAAAGCCAGGGCCAGCATGGACGGTTATGCCTCGCCTGGCCAGAGTGTGTTGGCCTTCGGGGCTAGGGGGCAGGGGGGCTGGCAGCTTCCGAGTAGCCGAAGTCTCTTCCGGGGGAGATTGAGGCATGGACCCAGGGGACAGTGGGTGTCTCAGGGCGGAGTAGCGGGGGAGCTGCCTACTCGCCACTCTGAGGCTGTAGTGGAACCCCCTGAAGAATACACCCTCGTTCTGTCATAATAAAAAGTCGGACACATCGTTGTCAGTAAGGGACAGAGGGATGCCACCTGGCCGCTCTGCAGCGAGAAACAAAGTCAGCCCGTGTGAATCGAATCAGAAAATCCCCAACGAGGAAAAGATGTACGCTGTGAACCCACTTATATTTGTTTAAAACTCTGAATTTCCTTGTGCATATGGATGTGTATGCACATGTGCAGAAGGGTCTGGAAGACTGTAAGTCACACGCCTGGAGAGGCAAGTGGAATCACTGGGGGATTGGTGTTACCTATCATTTAAATTTTTATAAAAATACGTGTTCTTCTACCACCGCTTAATAAAAGTATAAATTTAAGAACATTTAAAACACACACACACAAAATGAAACTGTATGCTCATGCATAAAGACAGGTTGAGGGGTCAAAAAGACCTCGTTGTGACATCTCCTGCACCACATCCTGTGTGTGTGACCTGAGCAAATGACTTACCCTCTTAGCTGTAGACCAGGGCATCTCACCCAGGGGACATTCTCACAACGAGGGAGATGCTGGCGAAGGTCAGGGGTGCTGCTCAACACCCCGAGGTGCTCAGGGCAGCCCCCAGGGAGAATGGCCTGGCCCGGTGCTACCAGTGCTGAGGGAGACCACGAAGGAGAGCAGGCCCTTCACGCACGAGTTTTGAGTGAACTCCTGAGCCCCAGCACGGTGCCTCTCCATAGCCTCTGAGCTTCCTCCCTGAATGTTCTCATTCCCTGAACATAGCAGCATGATGAAAGTGCAGAATGGAGAAGGACCTGTGTTAGGGAACCGGGATCACAGTTTTAAAATGTTTTTAATTCTTTTAAGGTTGGTTGATAAAACAAGAAATGAGAAGAATAGAAGGAATTTCCATCTCACCCTGCAGGTAGAGCTGGGTGGGCCGGGCACCCTGGTCAGACCAGGCTCACCTCCTGCCTTCCTCAGCCACACCCACCCTCTACAAGTTTGGGTCCCTTACTTGTTGACAGAGTCACACATATTCTTGAAGCTTCAAACTCTTTGGGTTTTCTAAAGCTCCACGAGCACAGCTGGGGCGCCAGAGGGGAGACCTGGGCACCTCCAAGGCTCCTCCTGCCCCAGTGAAGCAGGTGTCCCCAGGAAGAGCCACCTGTGGGGCTCCTGGAGCAGCGGAGTAGAGGAAATGCAGGCTCCAGGGCCACCAGTTCAAATGCTGGCCTCACTGAGCCTCAGCTCCACTCTGGGTGTGGAGGGAAGCAAGGCAAGCTGCGGCCTGCGGTTGGAGCTCAGCCATGTCACCTAAAGTCCTCGGGGGCCGCCAGGCATCTGCCCAGAGCCCCACCTCTGAAGAGGCAACCAGGCCAGAGCCAGCAACACCCTGAGTTTTGGTTTCCAGATTTATTACCAGGCAGCCTTGCACAAGACACTTGTTTCCTCATTGTCAGGTAGATTTGGGGCCACGCCCAGGGTGGGGTGGGGGGATCAACTGGGAGGGCCTGTGTCAGGTCCTTTACAGGACAATCCGTGCGTAACACAGTGAGCACAGGAAGAGACCTGAGGGAAGCGCAGAGGTGTCATCCGCAGGTGTCCTCTGCCCGGGGGCAGCAGGTCCCTTCCTAACTAGGCGGGGGAGGGGGCAGCAAGGGAGAGGCCTGTTGGCTTGGCCGCCTTTCTCTTGTGCTGGACACTCACAGGGCATCGCCTTTGCTCGCAGTCTCTCCTGCCTGGGCTCTGACAAGAACCCAGGCCCAGAAGGGGTTGGGTCTAGCTGGTGCGCCCTCCAGGTGGCTCCAGTTGCAAGCCTGGTGGCTGGGCCTGTCACTATGGCAACCTCAGGAAGGCTGAGTCACAGATACTCTTTCCCCTTCCCTAGATGTGCCATCCTGAAGCCGTGGGTTGCCTTTATTGTGGTCTGGCCTCTGTTTCCCGTGGAGCAAGCAGATCTCAGCTCTCCAGGAACCAGGGAAATGTGTTTTTTTATACCTGCCACTTCAGCATCCCTCTGGGATCTGTCTCTGCAGCGGCCCCACCCGGCCGCCTGCTCAGCTCGCTTGCTTTCTCCCCTGTACTGCCCCTAGGATGGTGGCTCTCTGGACCAGGTGTTGAAAGAAGCCAAGAGGATTCCAGAAGAGATCCTGGGGAAAGTCAGCATTGCGGTGAGTGTGCAGTCACCAGGTCCCCCGCCATTGCAGCACTGGGTGCGTGCACGCGCTCACAGCCCCATGCTCTGCCACTTGATCCTCACTCCTGCCCTCTCCACACGACCAGCAGAGAGAGAGATTGCCAACACCAGTCTCCACTGGCGGGGTGCTGAGCAGGGTCGTCCCTTTGCCCATAAAATAGGGTAAGGACAGAGGGGATGGCAGTGTCTCCCTCATGGGTGAGTCGTCATGTGAGAATCGGAGAGGGAGGCGCCTGTACCCACCAGTGCGGGTGTGCCATCACTTTGCCTCTCCTCGTGCTCGCCCCCTGGCCCCGAAAACGGGTTTCTAGCCCCACATGCTGTGGCCGCTGAGGTCTGGCCTGCAGGCCTGCCCAGGGCGCGGCCCTGCTGACCTCCCTCCCTGCGGCTCCCTCACAGGTGCTGCGGGGCCTGGCGTATCTGCGGGAAAAGCACCAGATCATGCACCGAGGTAAGATGGGAGGGGGCCTCCCGGGCCACGGGCCAGTGGGTGGGCCTGAGCCACGCCTCACCCGCTGGCTCTGCTCTCAGATGTGAAACCATCTAACATCCTCGTCAACTCCAGAGGGGAGATCAAGCTGTGCGATTTTGGGGTGAGCGGGCAGCTCATCGACTCCATGGCCAACTCCTTCGTGGGAACTCGATCCTACATGTCTGTAAGTCCTTTGAGAGGCGTTTTAACATCATGTACCGTACCTCCCCCCTTCCATTTGCTCTTCCCATTTTCCAGAAGCTTTTCCAAAAGACTGCATATTCCCGTAATATATTTTCTTTTTCTTTGCTGGATTTCTCCCCTGAAATTCTAGTTCCCATCATGTTCTCGCTCAAGTTTGTCTCTGGGGATGCCTGCCTGGTTCTTCCCACTGGTAATAAAAATCCATGCAAGAAGAGTACTAGTTAATTTTTGAGCCAACAAACTAGACCCTCAGGCATTTTAGGAAACAACCGAGTGATGGTTGAAGCAGATTCTGAGAAGTGAGTCTAGGGATTACTGTGAAAAAGGAGGCATTCCACTATCGTTCTTTCCCAAAAGTGCCAAGGACCTCGGTTTTTAAAGCGATGCTGTCAGCCCTGGCTGGAAGCTTCTCCCAAAGCGGGTGGAGAGAGTATTCAGAATCACTGTGGTATCTAAAGGGTTAGCAGGGCTCAGGGTGGGGTCTGAGGGAACAGCGGAGAGACACTCTGGTGCCCCCCTGACCTGGTGAGCTCTCCCAGCTCCCATTCATCTGCCTCCCTCTGGCCTCTCTCCTCTGTCTCACCAAACAGCCAGAGCGGCTTCAAGGCACTCACTACTCGGTGCAGTCGGACATCTGGAGCATGGGCTTGTCGCTGGTGGAGCTGTCCATCGGAAGGTACCCCATCCCCCCGCCGGATGCCAAGGAGCTGGAGGCCATCTTCGGCCGGCCCGTGGTCGATGGGGCAGAAGGAGAGCCTCACAGCATCTCACCGCGGCCGAGACCCCCCGGACGCCCCATCAGTGGTACGGCCTGAGTCGAGCACTTCCGGTTTGAACGGGCAGCGACCAACATGGGGAATGCCATGCTGGCGGGTGGCAGCTGCCTCCCCTCTGGCCCTTCTTGCACCACCTGTCCCCTGGGTTGTGCTAACTGCGGTCAGCAGTCCTCAGATGGTCCCGAGGCTTCCAGGGACGTGCTGGAAGCAGCGCCCCCGACCTGTCCCATCCGGGACAGCTGCACCTGTTGTCACCAGCTGGTGGGATCTAGAAGCCAGCCCCTCAGCCAAGCCACTGGGTTTTCCAACATTTTATCACAAAAATGTCCAAGCATACAAAGAGGCCAGAGGCTTGCCCGGGGAATGCCCTATGTGCACCGCCTCGCCACCGCCCAGGCATTCTGCATCCAGGGACACCCAGAATTGAAAGGAACTTGATTCAGAATGTCCTTCGATGGTTTGTGGGACACACCAGCAGCTCAGCATGGGAGGAGGAGGCAGGAGGCTGGGGGGCACTGGGCTCCCAAACAGTTCTTGATACCAAGAGCTGCCTCCTGTGAGGTGGAAGGCTGAGAGGTTCAGGCTGCTGCTTCCACACTTGGAGGGCGGCAAGGGGAGGGTCGCAGCTGAGGTGGCAGAGCCTGGGAACAGTGCTTGACAATAAGAATACAAGGGAACAGACAGTGGACTGTGGTCAGTGGGTTTCATAACAGTTTCATTGAGATAGAATTCAAGTGCCATACTCACTCTTTTCAAGCCTCTGATTCAATGGATTTGGTATCCTCACAATATTGTCCAACCATCACGTCTATCTAATTCCAAAACATTGTCACCCGAAAAGGAATCCCTACCCTGGCACCCACGAATCCACTTCCTGTCTCTGAACTGGCCTCTTATGAACAGTCCACATAAATGGGATCACACACTGTGGCCTTTGTGTCTGGCTTCTCTCCCTGAGCACCGTGTCTCCAAGGTCCATCCACGTTGTACTAGTGTCAGTGCCTCACTCCATTCCGTGGCCGAACAGGATTCCCCTGGACCATGTGTGTGTCTGTTCACCACTGATGGGCACTCGCGCTGTCAGATGGTGGTTTTCACAGTGTTTTCAAGTCCGGACCTTCTCCTTTCCGGGGGCTGCACCCAGGCTGCTGGCTGTCTTGATTTCCTCTAGGAGAGAATCTTGCCCCCATTTGTGTCCTCAGGCCCTGCCCCGAGCCTCCCAGTCCAACTCCCATCAGCCTCTGGTGTTCCCCTTCGGCCCCTTCCCAGCCGGGAGGAATGATGGGTCACGCCAGGCCACCTTGGCCTGCCACCATCTCCTCCAGCCCCTGCCCCAGCTCTGTGCCCATTTCGGGATAAGACAGAAGGGGAAGTCCAACTGCCAAACCCAGCCCTGGCCAGCTGGGTCTAGGACCAGGGTCAGCCACCCCAGCAGCCTACTGCTGTCTCCACCCGAAGCTCCAGGCAAGGTCACGCCGCTGCCCTTGCCTGCAGCCGGCAAACCACCACCACCACCCGTGCTGCGCCTGTGTGCCGCTGAGCGGAGCTGTGACGTGGCACCACCTGGGCGCAGTACCATGCCAAATGTGTAACTTCTCAAAAACGCTCCTGTTCGCCTTGTGTTTTATTTTGTTTTATTAATTCATTGGGAGTCGAGTTACTTTCCTAGGAAGTGAACTCGGTAGCCAGGCCAGGGGAGCCTCCCTGGTTCAGGCACGGTGGGGAGAGGGGTGCTGGCTTATTCAGGCTCACACTTAACGCCCAACAGGAATACACCGGCCACTCTCCCGTTTCACCCCCATTTTTGTTTCTCCCCTGGGCAGGTCACGGGGTGGACAGCCGGCCGGCTATGGCTATCTTTGAACTGCTGGACTATATTGTGAATGAGGTGGGTACCTGAAGGCCCTTTGGCACTCTTCATACCAACGAATGAAGTTATTTCTGTAGGAATACATTAGCAAAGAGGGAGGATTCGACACAGAGACGAAGGATTTTGTTGGGGAGGGTGCCGGGGGAGAGACGGAGACCATTCTTTTCAATAGGAGGTTATCGGGTGTAAAAACATGGTCTTACTTCCAGCCATACTGCCGAAATCCACCCCTCCCCAAGGGACATGTTTTGTGTTTATAAAGATGATCCCAGAATTCCCACTGCAGCCCTCTCCCTCCAAGGCCAATAGGCAAGTACCAGGGCCAAGGAGCCAGGCCACTCCCAGACGCTCTGAGCATCTTGGGAGTCTGTGTCCATGAAGTCAAACAGTCCCACTCGCCTGGGGAAAGTCCAGGAGCCCCCTCCTCTCTGGGAAGGAGGCACAGAGCACCTGGAAGGGTGGTGTGAATATTCCCATTGTACAGACAGGTAAACCGAGGCCTAAGGATGGAAGCAGCCTCCTTAGGGGCCTGCAGCTGGGAAGGGGTGACCTGACCCTGAAGGCTTTTTCTCAACAAGGCCTGGGCCCCTTCCCTGGGACTCTGGGCTGACGTGTATTTTCGGTGGCCCTTTGGAGGCAGCAAACGGTGCTGGGCTGCCTGTGGTGTGGGGCTTGGCCCAGGGCTGAGAGGTCGGTGGTGACAGACCAGGGTGGGGTGACTGGTGACACAGCTCTGCCTGTACCTGACAGTGCCACCCAGCAAGCACCTCCCTCCCTGAGCAGGAAGGCTGTGTCCCAGGCCTGGGGAGGTGGAAGGAGCTGGAGAGGAGGCCTGTGGTTTCACCAGGACAGTCTCTGGCCACTGCCTCTGACGGGTCCTGTGCATGACTGTCCCCGCCCTGGCACGTGTGTGTCAGGCCAGGCTCCTCGAGCTCCCAGCTTTCAGGGCCTGACCCCTGGAACTAGCTGCCCCTGTAGTCTAGACCTGCAGCTCATTCAAGACACCCACAGGCGGGTGGCTCAGGCAGTGTGACACCGCCCTTGTCCGTAAATGAGGTGAGCCTTGCTCCTTCCTTGTAGAACCAGTGTGATCCCCAGACAAGACCTTTCGAAAGAAAACTCTGGAAGAGCCAAAACTGGTTTGGCTCAGTGGGTAGAGCATCGGCCTGCAGACTGAAGGGTCCCGGGTTCGATTCTGGTCAAGGGCATGTACCTTGGTTGCGGGCACATCTTCGGTAGGGGGTGTGCAAGAGGCAGCTGGTCAATGTTTCTCTCATCGACGTTTCTAGCTCCCTCTCCCTCTCCCTTCCTCTCTGTAAAAAAATCAATAAAATATATTTAATAAAATTTAAAAAAAGGAAACTCTGGAAGAGGCCAACCCAGTTGGCAGAGGCCAGGCCAGCCTAGAAGCTGCTGGACAGGAGAGGGGATGGGTGCCCGCTCCGCCTCCAGCAGGGTGAAGGGACTGCTAGGAGAGTGTGCCCTGAGGGTCCCCAAGTGCCATGTTGTCTTCACCTGGCCTGGGCTGGGAAGGCCTCCCTATTCCAGAACCATCGTGGGCATCTGACTCCCCCCTGTCTCCTCTCTCCGACAGCCTCCTCCTAAGCTGCCCAGTGGTGTCTTCACCCAGGACTTCCAGGAGTTTGTGAATAAATGGTAAGGTGCCACAGCCTCCAGTGCGGTATTGGGTGGGTGGGGCTGGGTACCGGGCCGTCCTCGGGGAACATAAGGACCAGCCTGCCTCCTGGAATGGGCCGCCCACACTTCAGCCATCCACCTTCTCTGGTCCCGGCCCAGGCCCCTCTGCCGGGCCTCCACTCAGGAATGCCGGTGGACAGAGCATCCGGGGGGACACCTGTGGTCACCTGAGAACCCAGATTCCTTTCCCAGGCTGCAGAGTCACAGTGTCCAGCTGCTGTCCCCCAAACCCGAGTGATCCGGGGTCACAGGCATTTTGCAAATAAAGCCATCCCCACCTTGCTTTCTGCTAGAAGGCTCTTCGAATCCCTTGAGCCCTGCAAGCCACCAGCTTCTAAACAAGCCTGCCTCGCCAGATCCTGGGAGGCGGTCGGTGTTCCCTCTGAAGGAGAGGGATGAGCAGCACGGCCCCCCCGCCGCCCGGGAGCCTGTGTGGCTCACAGCAGCGAACCTGCCCTGGGAGAAGGGGCACTGGCCTTCCGCCTGGCTTCTGGCCGCCACCCTGTGGCACAGATCCAATTATCCATTGTCCGTGGGAGCATTTTTGTCTCCAGGCAAGGTTTTCTCTTGTGTTTGAAGAATTACCATTCGGCCCCAAGCTGCTTTGAACAGCTGCGTGTAGCCAGTTCTGCTTTTTTTAAGGAAAAAAGTTCTATTTTGACAATCGGACTCCCAAACTTGTGGGTTTTACTGGAAATGGGGCTGCAGTTGCTGCCGGGCCTCTGACTGAGCAGCAGCAGGGGGTTTCCCACCTTCTCTCCCGTTCCCTCTCGTCTTGGTCTCAGACCCTTGCCCGCCCCTCCCCTGGGCGTCCTGCCCTTACACCACAGCCAGTGCTGGAGCCCTCCCGCAGGGCACCAGGCGCAGAGTGATGGCGGTCCCCGTGGCCACCACCTAACTGCCCTGTCTTGTCTCCCCATGCTCTGTCTTGCTGCTCCACCTCATGGAACCCCCAGCCTCATTAAGAACCCAGCTGAGCGAGCGGATCTGAAGATGCTCATGGTGAGTGATGCTGCAGATTCTGGGGTCCCGGAGTCTGCCGCCCAGGGCCCCACCCTCCTCCTCAGGAGAGAAGCCCCGCCAGGCTTCCTGAGCCAGCTCTTGTCATGGGGTGTGTGTTCAGCTGGAGACCCTGTGGGTCTCCTGGCCCCTAGTGGGGATGACCCAGAGCCATCTCTGCCCTCTCGGCTCCTCGGGGAACAGAAGGGCCCAGAAGGGCCCAGCCATGCGTGTTGGGGATGTTGCTGCAGAAAGATGGGCTCTAAGCCTTCTGGACGCTCCCATCATGGGCCTGTCAAGCCGCCCGTGGGTCAGGGAGGCCATGAGGCAGTGCCTTCCTTTAATGTCCCACACCATTCAGTGTCCCTGACAACCAAAGTGGCCATTGAAGCTTGCCTTCCCCTCTGGACCTTTGCACAGGGTGTTTCCGCCGCCCAGGGATGCGCCCTGTTCCTCTCAGGGCTCTCGGCTCCCTGTCTGTGAGTCTTGCCTTCAGGGCCTCCTGAGAAGGCCCTGCACCTGCTCTAATCCTGCCCCACTCTTAGTTGTGGCAACAGGCTGTGTCCTGGATGTCATCACCGTTTGCTGTGGTAAAAATAGGAAGCCTTGCAGAGAGCACCATGTGGGAAGGGGTCTGCCTCTGCCTGATCCTTTCCAGAAACTTCTTACTGTGTCTGACAGATTTTTCCAGTAATGTGTGCTAAAAGAATGCGTGGCACAGTATAAGAGACATGTGTTCATTGTGACAGATACAAGCATGAAGCGGAGAAATGCATTTGTGTTGACATCCCCTATAGTGCTCCCTGCTCCTCAGCTCTCCTGTGCACACTGTGTGGAAAGCCTTCCAGGTCTCTGCCTGAGTAAAACCGTCTGCTGTTTGGGGCTGCCTTTGCACCCACTCCTCCTGTTGCCCTAAACCGCATGAGTTCCGTTCCCGGCTTGGGTGTTTCACCCAAGCCTGCAGCGGCCTTCAGGAGGATGAGGTGGTCTTGCCTGCCCCAGCTTGCAGAAGAGGCAGCAGTCCGGACGTTACTGTCACCTGGGAGGACTAGACCCCTCCGTGGACTCTGAGGCCCCGCCCTCCTGTCCTGAGCTGCCCCTGCCAGGCACACCCTGATCAGAAAGCGTTTGTTCACCCCACCCAGCCCAGAACCAGGAAGCCAGCGTGCTCTGCTGTTCCTGCTGGAACCCCTGCGTTGGCGGCTGTCGAATTCCTTAAAGCGAACTGGACTGCACAGATCAGTTCCTCGGCCTCACAAGCCATATTTAGGGGCCAAGGAGCCTCTTGTGGCCGGTGGCTGCCATACTGAATGGGACTTGTAGGGAACTTGCTACCCACACAGGCAGTTAGTGCTTTTCCAGATTAGATGGTCTCACCTAGGGGGACTCTGCCTGCAGGGATACTGGGCCATGGCTGTTGACACCTATGATCATCACACTGGGGGTGCTCCTGGCATTCAGTGGGTGGGGGCCAGACATGCTGCTCATCACTCCATAGTGCCAGCATGGCCCACAGGGACTGACTTGGCCTCAGGGTCAGCAGTGTGAGGCGGAGGCCTGGGCTCCAGGGAGCTCAGAGCAGCCTCCTCCTCCCCTGACGCCCTGTCCCATGTCTGTGTGGCTTCGGGCATGGAACCTCCCTGCTTTGGGGGGCTTTTCTCTCCGTTTTGGGGTTTCCATCCCAGCTGGCCTGCCAGCTCCGAGCAGAAGCCTGGTCCCTTACTCCTCCCTGCAGGCAGCAGGCTGTTCACGGCGCCTCTCCTTCCTTTTCAGAACCATAGCTTCATCAAACGGTCCGAGGTGGAAGAAGTGGATTTTGCCGGCTGGCTGTGTAAAACGCTGCGTCTGAACCAGCCCAGCACGCCCACACGTACCGCCGTGTGACTGCCGGTGACCGTCTGAATCCAGTCCGCCCGCCCTTCCCGCCCAGGACAGACCGGCTCCTCCCGCCCCTCCCACCGAGCCGGAGGAGAGCGCACAGGGCGGACATTCACTTCCTCTTCCACCTGTCGCAGCTCGGCCTCTGGTCTCTGGGGAAGGGTGACACTGCCCATGTTGTCTCAGAACCTGCTTACTTAGGTTTAAAAAAAAAACAAAAAAAAAAACAGGGAAAGAAAAAGCAAACCGAGCCCCTTGTACTGGTTCCATTTGTTCTTTGGGTGTCAGCCTCTGGTCCAACCCCGAGGGAACAATATCCCTCAGGACGGCTCCAGCCCCAGGCAGCTGGGCCTTAGAGAAATTGGGAGGGGCATGGCCTCGGGACCTGGCTCTGCTCTTTTTTCAAAGGACCGAGCTTCAGCGGGAAGCCCTAGACACTGACATCTTTCACCAAAACCGAGGGAGTGCCGCCTTGCATTTCTGTGTGCTGTCCCCTCGCCTGACACCGGTCCCCTCCCAGGTGGCCCTCGGCAGCCCGGAGAGCAGGGAGGCAGGTGGGTGTCATGAGGCCCACTTCCCGCGGCCACTGCCGCCTCTTGTCACAGAGCTGGTCCAGCCAACCCTGCGTGTCCTCAGCAGAGGGTGACCTGCCCCAAGAGGGTCCGGGGCCTCCTGTGCCTCAGCAGCAGACACTTCCGACTCTTTATAGTGGCAGCTGAGCCGACACTCGGCTCTGCAAAGGAAGTGTTGGGTTTCCAGGCCCTCGTGTGGTTGAAACCCCCAGCAGGTTCGGTAGATAAGACCTGTGCTCCCCCTCGCCGGCGTGCGTGGGTGGGCCGCACCTCAGTCACCTCTGCTCGCCCAGGGAATCCAAAGTGCCCGCCGGGGGCCACTCTGCTGGCCTCGAACCTTCACCCACAGCTGGTTGGAGGGAGGTCCCCCAGACCCCGCACCGTGGGGTGGCCGGCTGCCTCCCTTCGGGCTCAGAGGTAGGAAGTGGTGGCCGGGGCTGTGTCTGAGGCTCCCCTCTTCTGAACGCTGAAGATGTGAAAGCTGTCAGCCGCCCCCCTGATGGTTGAAACAAGCTGATAGTTATCTGTGGCGAATTGCAGGGGAAGGGTTTTCTGAGAGGGCTGTGGCTGGTGCAATCCAGGCTGGCCCGGTTTCCGGAGACACAGCCCAAGGCAGGGGCCGTGCCCTGAGGGGACTGCAGGTCCTTTTCTTGGGGAGCCCCCCCCCCCCCCAGTCTCCCATGTTTTTCTGAGGCCACAGAAGAGTTTGTGGCTTTCTCAACCAGCTTCCCAGGTTTTTGCCACTTCAGTTTCCCTCCAAAGTCTCACTTGATTTAGAAAAGAATAAGAACTAAAACGCTGAAGGTGTTGCTCTGTGAGGACCCCGCTCCCTCAGGACCTTCCTCGGAGGGGGAAGGGGCCTCTTGGCCCCGGGGAGCCTGGCACGTGGTCACAGATGGCCCACCTCTCGGGGCCTGTCCTGTCCATCTCAGGCTCCCCTTAACGGGAAACTGGCTGCTGTTCACAAGGAGCAAAAGCCCACGTTAGGGGGGGAGAGGGGGGCATTTAGGGTGGAGGGGGATGGTTTGAAAATGGGCGCCTCCACAAGCATTGAGAGGTGTAGATGCCACCCCCAAGGCCCTCAATTCTACGTGACCACGTTCTATACTGTACTGTTGCTTTCGCCAAGATCACTTGGCACGTCTGGAAAGGTCTAGAACCTGGCTCTTTCTCTTCCCACTTCGCACCAGAGCCCAGAACCAGGCTTCTAGAAAGTGGGGCTCACTCCTGAGTGTGAACCGCCGACAGCCAGGTTTCCAGGTGTCTCCCTCAGCCCCTGTTCCCTGAGAACGTCCCCAAATTTGGCACCTTCCAGTTCAGTCACCGCCGTTCTCAGGTCCAGGCCTAGCTGCTCCCAGCTGCCTGGCCAAAGGGGGCCTCAGACCTAGGAAACTGCTCGCCGCCCAGCAACGTGGTTACAGGTTCTTGATTGCAAGGGGGCAGGCTCTTCAGAGAAACTGACTGCCCTTGGTTTTGGGGTCTCCTGACGGGATCCAATAGTTGTCATCAGGCCTCAGCCCTGGTTCTTACTGGAGACCAAGGGCTTTGTGCATGTGTCAGGGTTTCTTGTTCTTTCAAAACCCTGGGAAGGCCACGTATGTGAGAAGACACAGCCACTGTGTTGGGAGTCAGGGGGGACCCAGCAACCCTGTGCCCCTAGCAGCCCTCTGTCTGACTTCTGTCCCCCGCAAAGAAGCAGAGCTTTAGAATCTTGCACACTGAGTGTTCTTTATTTATTTTTGTTTTGTGTGTTTTCGCTTTTTTTTTTTTTTTTTTTTTTTTTTTTTTTTTTTTTTTTTTTTTTTTTTTTGGTGCTTGGTTTGCAGGGAGAAAATCTCAAGTGTGTTGTTGGTACGAGTCAGTGCAGCTCAACAGCACTTCACGTGGCCACGTGCTGTCCCGTGTCCCCACCTGGTCTTTCCATGGCGTGTGTGCCTCCGAGCCGGTAGCTCACCCCAACAGCCCCGTGGTGACCCACAGAATAAGGGATCGCTCCGCTCCATCGATGTCATGGGGTCAGCTCTATCTCTGTACTTGATGTATGAAGCCCACGCCCTTCATCCTGTGAAAATCTCAGGCCGGATCAGCCTGGGCCCTGGACAGGTGTGAGCATAGCAAACCTGGGGGAGAGAGAGGGGGGCGTGATCCTGGGGGGAAAAGCTGCAGAGCCAGCAGGCCAGGCCGGCTCCAGGTGGGGTCTCTGCAGTTTCCATTTTCCAGCAGCTGCAGCTACAATAGGAAAAGGAGACAGGTGACGGTAATTGGATGGTGTGCTTTATTTAACACAATAGCGGGGGACCCTTGTAATCAATGTGAAAAACTGCTGTGGTGTTTTACATTCTCTTTCTTTCTGACGAAGTCCTTGTAAGAGGGGGTGTTCCCTCACAGCACATCTCAGGTGGCACATGGCCACGGGTAACTCCTCTCTGCTCCCCCAGCTGTCCTTAGCCCACAGGGTCTTCCGTGGGGACAACGCCCCTCAAGCAGGGACGGCAGGTGATGTTGGGGGACATTGGTGCCTGTCACGACTTGGGTGCTCCTGGCACCGAGCGGGTGGGGCCAGGGATGCTGCTCAGCACCCCACCATGCGGGGGACCGCCCCCCATAGAGAATGGCGCACCCCCAATGTCCAAGGTGCTCAGGAGAGAGAGCGCCTGATTGAGCCCAAACTCCTCCCCAGATTTGACACAGTCGGGGCCGCGGCCGCCAGCAGCAGAGGTCAGACCCTGGCTTGTGTGTGTCTGGGGCGGCCTGCTTGAAGCCGCCGGGCTTGCTGTGTCCAGAGCCTGGGACATCGTACGACGGGGGTGTGTGGGCCGGGGCAGCCCAGAATCTTCTGGAAGGTGGGCAGTGGGAGAAGCGTGCTCAGCCTGCCGCAGGGGAGGAGGGGTGTGCTGAGCACGGCAGGAAGGTGGAGCCGGCCTCCCTCCCGCAGAGGACTCCCAGGTTAGCAGAGTTCAGAGGAAGCCGTGACCGTGTTTCCCAGAAAGCTGGGCTCGGGGCGGGGGGGGCGGGGACTCTGAAACCAGAAACCAGAGGGGCCTCCTGTCCCCACCTCCTCCTCTGACCAGGTGCTCCAGCCCGGGGCAGGCCACCGCGGGGCTGGAGGCTGAACCTTGAGCTACGCGCCTGGTAAGTGGAGGTCCTCTTGCTCTGCAGTCCCCATGGCAGCCACGGGGCAGGACGTGGTGGCTCCAGAGGAGGAAGGAGGGGGGGAGGGCGAGGCCTGGGCCTCGTGGCAGCCTGAACGGAGGCCCGAGTCTCGAGTTTCTGCCCGGGCTTCCCAGGGGACAGGGAGGCCGCAGAGAAGCACCTGGAGAAACGAGAGAGGCCTCAGGTGAGAGAGGGCCTCCAGCCATGCGCCTGCCCCCTCCCCGCCGGACCCACCCCGCGGCTGCCGGAGCCAGACTGGCTGCACTAGCATCACAGCTGCGCCTGACTCCGCAGCGTCAGGGAAGGTCGTGCCCCTGTGGGCCTCAGCTCGCTCCTCTGCAAAGGGGGTGATCACAGACCAAAGGAATGGCCTCCCGCTTGCTCAGGTCCCCTCCCCCCTTCTGTGGGCACCCAAATTGGGGTAGGAGTTCTTGCCCAGGGGTTGTTGGGGGGAAGAAGGAGGGGGAGGGGGACGCACAAGCCTTTCACTTACTCTTGCCTTTCTGCCTCTGCCTCTTCCGTTCCCTGTGCGTGCGGGGAAGTTCTCTCTTCATCCCCATCTCCAACTCTCGCTCAGGCTTCAGGCGCAGGACAAACGTCCTCCCGCTTCGCACCGCCAGAGTGCCAGACCCCACCCAAACCCTCACACAGCTGTGCTTTAGCTTCCCCCGTGGTCCTCGTCCCATGGCCGCGGGCTTGGCCGTGAATCTTCAACACAAAACACGGGCACAAGCAGCAAAAGGAAAAATAGGTGAATTTGAACTCAGTCAAAATGTAAGATTTGGGTGCAACAAGAGACTGAACAGACACCCCACAGAGTGGGAGAAAATACTCGCAAATCCTGTTTGGGAGACAAGTCTGGTGTCAGAATGAATACAAGAAAAATCATTAGGGCCCCGGCAACCAAGAGGAAATCGCCCAATTAAAAGTGGGCATGCTCAGTGGTTAGAGCCGGGCCAGCGCACTGAAGGGCCAAAGGGTCTCAGATTCGATGTCTGATTGTCAAGGGCTTGTACCTGGGCCGATCCCCAGCCCCGGGTACCGGCGGAAGGCAACCCATGGATGCGTCCCTCTCACATCTGGGTTTCTCTCTCCCCCTGCCTCCCTCCCTTCCACTCTCACTGAATATCAATGGGGAAAATATCCTTGGGTGAGGATTAGCAAACAAAAGCGGGCAGTGGATGTGAGTGGACATCTCCCTAAGGACCCATACCAGGGGCCAGTGCGCACCCATCTCCCACGGGCAGGCAGCACCTGGAACTGAGCTGGGGGAGGGGCCGGGCGATGGGGATCAACATTCCTGGGGTCTGGCTGGCCAGAAAAGGGGAAGGGACTGTGCGGAGACGCTGGGCGCCCCAGGGCTGGGAGATGAGTTAGCAAGGATGTGGCCTGAGGTCCCGAGGGAGGGGTGACGCTGGGTGGAGGGGCTGGGGTGGCCCCGCCTCCCGAGGGCGGGAGGGATACCTAAACCCCAAGGAGAGGTGGGAGGTGTGCTGTCTTCTGTCTTCACCCCCACATTAAAGAG